GCAGATAACATGATTGTCTATCTAGAAAAAACAAAGAATCAACCAAAAAACTCCTGGAACTAATAAGCAATTGTAACAAGGTTATAAGCTAAGTCACTTCAGTCGTGTCCGACTCTGTGCAACCCCATAGACCGCAGCCCACCAGGCTCCCCCGTCCCTGGGATTCTCCAGGCAAGAACACTGGAGTGGGTTGCCATTTCCTTCTCCAATGCATGGAAGTGAAAAGTGAAAGTGAAGTCGCTCAGTCGTGTCCGACTCTTTGCGACCCCATGGACTGCAGCCTCCAGGCTCCTCCGTCCATGGGATTTTCCAGGCAGGAGTAGTGGAGAGGGGTGCCACTGCCTTCTCTGAACAAGGTTATAGGATACAAGGTTAATATACAAAAGTCAATCGCTTTACTATAGATCAGCAATGAACAAGTAAAATTTGAAATTAAAAACAGCACCCTCAAAAATGAAATATTTAAGTAACAAAATATGTGTGTTATATGAGGAAAATAACAAAACTCTGACAAATGAACTCAAAGAACTAAATAAATATAGATATATGTATTTCATGCTCATGGATAGAAAGACTCAATACTCTCAAGGTGTCCATTCTTCCATACTTGACCTATATATAGTCAATGCAATCCAAATCAACATTCTAGCAAGATAGATAACAACAAACTTAGTATCTACTTGGTACAAGTACCTCTCTTGGTACTTTACACAGAGAGGCAAAAGACTCAGAATATACAACATAATACTGAAGGAGAAAAATAAAATTGCTTGACCAATACAATCCAACTTCAAGACTTACTATAAAGCTGTGATATGCAAGACAGTTTGGTATTGGTAAAAGAACAGACAAAGAGGTCCACGCAACAGAATAGAGAGCCCAGAAATAGACCCACATAAGTTTACTCAACCAGTCTTTATGACAAATGAGCCAAGGTAATACAATGGAGTATCTCTTCAACAAGTGGTGCTAGAACAAATGAACATCCACATGCAAAAAAAAAAAAAAAAAGAATCCAGACACACACAAATGTATATCACAGATATCATAGATCTAAATGTAAAACACAAAATTATAAACTCCCAGAGGATAGTATCAGAGAAAAATCTATGCAATGACTTTTTAGGTAAAACACCATAGACACACTTTTTAGATACAGCACCATAATCCATGAAAGGACAAGTTGATAAGTTGGGCACATTAAAGTTAAAAGCTTTCACTCTGTGAAAGACACAGTCAAGGGAATAAGATAAGACACAGCCTGGGAGAAAATACCTGCAAAAGAGATATCTGATAGAGGACTATTATCTAAAAGATACAAACAACTGCCGAAGATCAACAATAAGAAAATGAAAAATTTGATTTTAAAATGGGCATAAGTCCTGACCTGACAGCTCACCGAAGGACTATACAGACGGCAAATAAGCACATGAAAATATGCTCCACAGTACACATCGTCAGGAAAATGCAAATGACAACAATAATGACATACCACTACACACATATTACAATGGCCAAAATCTAAAACACTGACACCACCAAATGCTCACAAGGATGTGGAGCAACAGGAACCCATTTTTGGTGAGAATGCAAAATGATGTATAGCTACTTTGGAAGAAAACTGGCAGTTTCTTATAAAAAATAAACATACTCTTAACGTACAATTCAGCCACTACTCCTCCGTATTTGCCCAAAGGGAGTGATGGGTGTTGTAATGTCCACACAAACACCTTCATATGGATCTAACAGCAGCTTTATTCATAATCAGTCCTGGGTGTTCATTGGAAGGACTGATGCTGAAACTCCAATACTGTGGCCACCTCATGCGAAGAGTTGACTCACTGGAAAAGACCCTGATGCTGGGAGGGGTTGGGGGCAAGAGAAGGGGACGACAGAGGATGAGATGGCTGGATGGCATCACCGACTCAATGGACCTGAGTTTGAGTAAGCTCGGGAGTTGGTGATGGACAGGGAGGCCTGGCGTGCTGCGATTCATGGGGTCGCAAAGAGTTGGACACGACTGAGCGACTGAACTGAACTGATGAACTGAACTTATTCATAATCGCCAAAACTAGGAGGCTACAAGATGCCTTTAAATCGGTGAATGAGTATTCAGACAATGGAATACTGTTCATCACTATATTCAAACAATGGAATATTGTTCATCACTAGAAAGAAATAAGCTCTCAAGCTATGAAAAGTCAAGAAGGAACTTAAATGCATATTAAGTGAAAGACACGATTTCAGATTCCAACTATATGATATTTTGAAATAGGTCAAATTGCGGAACTTCCTGGCAGTCCAGAGGTTAAGACTCTGCAGGGAACCCAGGTCTGATCCTTGGTCAGAGAACTAGGACCCCACAAGCCACATGGTGTGGCAAAAAAAAAAAAAAAATTTAATGGAAATAGGTGAGACTATGAAGATGGTAAAAGGATAAGTGGTTGCCAGTGGTTAAAGAGGAGGGATGGATGAACAGACAGAGGACAGAAGATTTTTAGGGCAGTGAAACTCCTCTGTACGATATTATTGATATAATGATGCCAACATGTAACTAACATTTCTCAAAACTCACAGAATGAAAGCCACCAAGAATGAACCCTACATTTAGTCACCAAACTATGGACTTTGGGTGATAATGATATATCAACGCAGGTTGTTAATTGTAACAAATCTGGTGCAGGACGCTGGTAGCCAGGGAGGCTGTGCTTGTGTGGGACACTGAGTGCATAGAAGCTCTTTGTATTTCCTGCCCAATTTTGCTGTGAACCTAAAACTGCTCTAAAAAAATAGTCTATTTAAAAGGGGAAACATCCTCACAGAATAGTGCGTGATAACAAATGGCGGTGGTTGTTTTAAGTCACAAAGCTTCAGGGCGATCAGTTATGTAACAATGGATAACAAAGACACCCCATTTATGGAAAAGACTGATGATTAACTGCTAACACCCATTCTTTCTTTCCTCTTCTATAATAGAATGCTTCAGTTCCGCTCGGGGGGGAAAAAATGGCCTCCCAACCAAAGATTACATTTACAAGCTTCCCTCACAGTTGACAGGTCCACAGGACTAGGTTCTAGGGAACAGTAGCTGGATGAACAGGATGAAGGAACTTTCAGGGTTATGCTCTGGAAAAGAGGATCTGTCCTCCCCTTCCCTTCCATGCTTCCTGCTGGTAAAAAAAAAAAAAAGTGAAGACGGCAGTTGAGCTGGAGCAGCCACCTCACGTCATGAGCGGGGGAACCACATGTTGAGGATGGCAGAGGAACGTGGTAGAAGTAACCAAGGTCAGGGATGCCCTCCAGACACCATTCCAGCCCTGACTATCGTCACTGCAGAGGCGGTGTTTCTGCAGCCAAGCCCGTCTTCTAAGTAACCCCACATCTCACAGGGCTGCTCTAAAGACGGAATGAGAGGAGGTGCAGAGAGAACCTCACAGGGAGCCTGACACAGAGCAGGTGAGCTCCGCACACACGGGCCCTGAGAGCTGAGAGGCCCCAGCAGGTGGATGCCGCTTCTTGGACGGTCCTGACCCAGCCGTCTTCATCTACTGTCGACGGTCAGTCTCTGCGACCAAGCCCACAGGGCTGCGCGGGACACGTGTAGAATGGGAACAAGGCTGATCCTGCCGACGCAAACCAATCCCGGGGACCGTGTGGAGGCAGACACCCAGGGCTCAGCACCGCCAACCGTGCTTCCCCAACCCGCCTTTGCCGTTTTCAGGAAACTTTACTCAAAGTTTCCTGAAAACTGAGAGTTTACTTTCAGCAAACTCTCCTACCTTCCAGATGAAGTCCAGACTCCTCAGCCAAAGGACAGGAAGTGGCATCCCAGTCCAGCATTCTTGTCTGAAGAAGCCCAGGGACAGAGGAGCCTGGCGGGCTGCTGCACATAGGGTCACACAGAGTTGGATACAACTGAAGCGACTTAGCCTGCATGCATGCATTGGAGAAGGAAATGGCAACCCACTCCAGTGTTCTTGCCTGGAGAATCCCAGGGACAGAGGAGCCTGGTGGGCTGCCACCTATGGGGTCGCACAGAGTCGGACACGATGGAAGTGACTTAGCAGCAGCAGCAGCCTCAGCCAAAGGAACACACAAGAGTCATTCACAACCTATCCCCACTCCTTGATCAAAGCTCGACCTGTGGCGCCCTCCCTCCAAGCACCAGCCCTACCGAGCGGTGCGGAGTTTCCAGGTCACGCTGTGTTTCCTCACCCCCCAGCGGCATGGCACACATTTGTCCATTTGCCTGCAAACCCACCTCTGCCCACAGAGCCTCTGCCCTCTTCTCTACTTGGCTGACTTCTGTTCTACCTTAAGACAAGGCTCACCATCACCTCTAGGAAACTGTCCTTGGCTATGGAAGAGACCACTCGTGGACCCGCCAAAATTCTCTTCCAGTCCTCCCCAGTAAGGGAAGTTTTGTGCAGCTCACGGCCACCGAGCTAACCACAATATTTCCCAGCCTACCAGCTGGGGCCACGGGAATTGGCGCTGGTCAATGGGTGTGAGCAGAAGTGACATGGCGATGTTTGTTCCAAGAAGCTTTAAGGAAAGGAGGGTCCCTCCCCCTTCCAAGGGCTTGGTAACAGTTCCTCTTCAACACGTGCACAAAAGCAGGACAGCCAGCAGGACAAGAAGAGGAAGGGCGTCCGGGCCTCCGACACCGTGGGCAGCCTCCACGTGTCCAAGAGGAGCAGAGGCGAGGTGGAAATTTAAGAGCTTACCACTATTTATCAGTGCAAAGCACCTGCGTGGCCTTCAGTGGCCACTGAACCAAACCTTCCTGCTTCAGAGGACCCGCCACAGGATCAACTTGAAGATCCAAGATTAGGGTGGCAACCTCCACTGACTCAGGTCATCGATTCAAACTGCCCAAGACGACGGGGAAAGCAGAGCGGAGCGCGAGCCATCCCACGCGTCGTCCTGAACCTCCACCTCCCAGCACTCCCGCCCCACCTTGCGTTCCTGACCCAAGTTTAGAAAAACGGGGACCTTACCTCTGGAGACTTTGTACACTTCATAGAAAGAATAGACGTGGAAGCCTACAGAAGCTAACAGGTAAAAGGACAGTTCCCACCGCGGCAGCATTGCTCCACGCCGAGAGTTTCTAGGAAGAGAGATGGAAATAAAAGCTGTAAGCCAAAAACATGACACTGGAGGACAACCTCTCATCACCATCGCCAGCCAGTCCCCTTGTGCCCCCAGGGACCGTCCCTTGTCAAGACACAGCCCCTCCTCCCAGAGACACCTCCTCTGCGTGACCTCGTCCCACCCGGTCACATCTCTCTCTCTCACACACACATCACACACACAGTACACGCACACACACATCACACGCATCTCACATACACAGAATCATATCACACATACACACATCTCACATACACATAATCATATCACACATGCATCACACACATATCACATACATACACACATCTCACATATGCATAATCACATCACACATGGATCACACACACGTATCACACACATCACACACAGCACACGCGCACACACATCACACGCACACACACATCACACATGGATCACACACACATCACACACATCTCATACACAGAATCACATCACACACACACATCACATACACACATCACACACACACACAGCACACGCACACACACATCACACACACATCACACGTAATCACATCACACATACACACATCACACACACAGCACACGCACACATCACACACATCTCACATATACATAATCATCACATATGCATCACACACACATATCACATACATACACACATCTCACATACACATAATCACATCACACACATCATACACACACACACATCACACACACACACATCTCACATACACACATCTCACATACACATAATCACATCACACACACATCACACACACACACATCTCACATACACACAATCACATCACACACACATCACACATGGATCACACACACATATCATACACACACATCACACACACATCACACGCACACATCACACACATCTCACATACACATAATCACATCACACATACACACATCACACATACACACATCACACACAAACATTACACACACATCACACATGCATCACACACACACAGCACACACACACACACAGCACACACATCTTACATACACATAATCACATCACACACATCATACAACACATCATACACACACGCATCACATGCCATCACACACATCACACACACACACCACACACACATCACACACCACACACATACATCACACATTCATCACACACACATATCACACACACACATCTCACATAATCACATCACACACACATGCCCATATCACACACACATCACACACATCTCACATACACATAATCACATCACACACACACATATCACACACACCTCACATACACAGAATCACATCATACACATCTCACATACACAGAATCACATCACACACACATCACACACACATCATACACACACACACCACACACATCTCATATACACATAATCACATCACAGACATCATACACACACACATCACACATGCACATATCACAAACATCACACAGCTCATACACAGAATCATATCACACACACATCTCACACACATCACACACACACAAACCACACATACACGTATCATACACACCATCACACACATCTCGCATACACAGAATCACATCACATGCACATTACACACACATCACACACACATCACACATGCACATATCACACATGCACATATCACACACACACATCACACACATTTCACCTACACAGAATCACATCACACACATCACACATGCATCACACACATATCACACACACACATCACACAATCTTACATACACAGAATCACATCACACACATCACACACACATTACACACACATCTCACACACACACACATCACACACACACATCACACACAAATAACACACACACACACCCCGCCTGCCCAGAATGGGCAGGTCTTTCCCTTTGAGCCCCACAGCTGCCCACCGGCCATCACAGGTTACACCAGCCACTCCTGTCCTCACTCCTGCCACACCCGTCTGCCCGGCAGAGCCGACCTTTAGAGAGCAGGGACCGCCATCTCAGTCTACAGAACCCAGCACAGGTCACCGAACGCAGCAGGACGGGACTACTACATGCTCCAGCAATAACAGATTATTGTTCAAAAGCCTAAAGAGAAGAGAGCCCCAGGGACTTCCCTGGTGGTTCACTGGCCACGACTCCATGCTCAGAGAACTGGATCCCACACGCTGCAACTAAGAGTTCACATCCCACAACTAAAGATCCTGCAGGCAGCCAAGTAAATAAATACATTAAAAAATAAAAGCACAAACCATCTCCAAACCTCTTCTAACCCAACAGTCTCAACCTCCTCGTTCTCCCCTTCAAATGCCACCCCATAGTGGTTTATAAGACTGGACTGACAAAACCACTGTGTCTTCCATATTCCGGGCGCTTCTTAAAGGGAAGCCAACAGCATGATCCCACTGAGTCACCCACTCTGTATATGCAGTCTCCCTTCTTGCACAGGAACTGAATTTTTATTTACACAAGGATGCTGAGCTCAGTGTATCCAAGAGTGGATATTTGAATAGTTCTGGCTCTGAGGCTGTGGTCATCCCCTTCCTGCTGGGTGGAGTTGGAACAACCACATTTAGACCAAGAGGTGAAAGCCACAGAGAAAAATAAGACAGAGGTGCCTCAGTTCCTGACTGCACGTACCACCCCACCCCACCCCCAAAACTGCCCTGGACCTCTTATATCTCTGGACTGTTACATGAGAGAGAAATGCATTCCCAGGTTGTGTAAGCCCATGCTGTTCTCGATCTCTGTTATGGCAGCCATGTCTATACTCTTAAGTAATAAAGCGGGTAACAGGAAGTCCTAAAAGTCTGCAAATTAAATGATCAGTTCCCAAATGACACAGAGTTAGCTAAATGTAAACCCCTTTATGGCCGTCATTGCTTTACTTAAACCTCTCAAATATGTCAAAATCAAATTAAAACAAGAGCAAAATGTTAAGCCCCCAGCAAGCACTTCTAATACGTGACGGTAATGCCAAAGCTCAGACCTCACCCATGAGCTCATTGTATTTTCACAAGAGTTGGGTGACGTGTGTGGAGCAAGGGAGGCAGGCATTTATAGATGATGAATGTGGACGCAGTGAGGTCATTCAATCAGAAATAATGGAGCCAGGGCGCAAATCCAGGTCTTGAGACCCCTGAGCCCCCACCTCACCCCTCAGGGATGGAGCCCCTTTAGTACCAGTTCACGGAATTACTTGTCCTCAGAGTCTGGCTCAGAACCTTGCCACTCACAAACCCCTTTCTGCAGGGAGTCAGAGCAGGAAGGGATATAAACTTTCCCTTTCATAACACATGAGGTCAGAAATCAGTGGTCCTCCACCCAGACGGCCCCCTGGTTATTACCTACAAGTTGCCAAGGCATGAGTTTCTCCCGCAACACTCCCAGAAGACCCAGAATCCGCCACTTGTACTTCCACGGCCAATCTCTCTAAGCCCCAGTATTTCAACAACGCCTTCATAGGATCCCCTAGTACTTTTCAGAACCCCTTCGAGCTTCATACATCTCTGGTCACCCTTTATCTTTAAATACCTGGCATCTCCCAGAATATGTTAAGATTTCTTTCGGGGACTTTGTAGGAGTATAGTTAATTTTCCATTTAGTGGTAAGCAAATTTCAACCTCTGGGCTTTTTTTTTTTTTACTTTTTGTTTTGTCACGGGTTACAGCTGATAAACAACATCATGGTCGTTTCAAGTGGACAGCAAAGGGACTCTGCCATACATACACATGTATCCATTCTCCCCCAAACTCGCCTGCCATCCAGGATTCCACACAACACTGGGCAGAGCTCCCTGTCCTACACGGCAGGTCACTGTTACAAGCTCTGAGCTTTGTATTCGCCCTCCTTCCCAAGGATGCTCGTATTACTATATTGGATAACTTCCTCCAACAGAGGAGAGCTGAAGCCCTCTTCAAAAGCTACTGAAATTTGAACATAAATAATCTTGGAGAATAACTAAAACTTCCAGAAGTCCTGCACTTTTGAAGCTTTTAGTGAACATTCTCCTTCAAGGACAACTCCCCTGCATTGGTGACTTCACTGTCAGAAAAGGAGAAAACTCAAATGTTTTTTGATGCTGCTCTTGGCTATATCGTGTATGTTCTGCAGACATATACACAGAGATGCTTAGTAACAAGCAACAAAGCAGTGGGCTGTGTCCTCATATTTAACGTTTGGGGACTGGACCAGCTGCTGCTGACAGCACAGTAGTGGACTCTGCATCAGGCAGACCTGGGAGGTGACCGGGCTCTGCCAGTGGCTCAGGAATTTAAGTGGGTCACAGCTTCCCAGATATGCTTCCTCATAGACTTATTAAGTGGATTGAATGTAAAAGGCGTACCCAGGGCCTGACACAGAAGAAGCACTCAGTGAACACTAGCTAAAATCCGCCCCAGTGGGATCAGTTAGTGAATTGAACTGATCGGGAGCTTACCTGGCCAGAGACCTGGGTTTCCTTCTGAACTGATGATCTCTAACTGACCGCCCATGGGGGGAGGGACTGAGCATCCCACCTGCTGCTCGGCTTTCTTCCGCTCATCAGCACCCCGACAGCTTCTCCCATGTCTCATCCCCCTCCTGTCCCCACATCCAGCCCCAAGGCCACCCCACACAGCAACAACGTGTCCTTGGGGACCCTCTGGAGAGCTTTCTGCCCAGCGTCTCTCCTCATCATCCCTTTTCTTCGCCCGAAAAGGAATTATATGCAGTACTCATTCCTCTTGCCTCACCGTTCACAATCCCAGAAATGTAACCTCAGAACACCGCCACCACACACGCACCCAACTTGTCCTTAACAGACCTTTCTTCCTTAATAATTCTTTTCAACTCTTGTCCACTTATCTCAAGAAGACTGCTCTCTCCAGGGCTCTCTCCACCTCTGTTCATTTCAGCTGTGCGCTCGGAGAGCCAATCAGGATAGATATGATTCAAAGGATTTAATGACACAAGAGTATCAAAGAAAAGAAAGCTGAACCTTTGGGAATACAACTAGAATTTTTTTT